GCACCTCATCACTTGAAACTGTGCCTTCAATTGCGATGATAGAACCGTTTATAACCGTTTCAATTCCCAGCGGCTTGCCTGCTGGCGACCGCCGCAAAATACCATTCTGCTCAACAGGACCCCATCCTCTTAATATATCTTGATCATGCATTTCTTTTGTGAGGGAGGTCCGGTCCAGTGAGCAGGTTGAGAGGTCCTCAAAATGTCAATTTCGTTGTTTTTACTTGCGAACCATCCTTGGAAGGACTGTGAAATTGCCACTTTCATGCTTAGTGTGGGGAAAAAGGGCGACACCCTCAAATTGTTCCTTCTAGTCGGCGCAACGACCATCGTATGACATCCGCTTGTCGGCTCAACATTTCAGTTGGCGATGGGAATGCCCGCTCAATCATCGGCGCGGTTGACCCCATGCAAATCCAAACACTTCGGTCTGAAGAAGCAGTGCGCGATGTTTGCTGTTTGGTCCTTGACTTTCGGGGTCTAAATGAGTGGGCCCGCCCTGAGTGAGTGCGACAAAATGAGCTGGGTTTGAGCTGGCTTTGAATTCTTGCAAGCTGCCATCGCCTGCTTGGTGCCACAGCTTCAGGCCCTGCCCCTTTACCCAGGCTCCTGTCGAAGCACTTGGAGGCCCTGCGCAACGGCAAGCTGCTTCCCCGCAGCGCCGCTCGGTGTGCGAAAGCGCCACTGCTCGTGGCTTCTTTTTTTGTTTTTGGGCCAGGTGGACAACTTCACATGATTTCGAGTGCTTGATTTTCAGGACTCCAAAAGTAGCACCAGCATGTTGTGTTTTCGCAAGTTTGGCCGGACTTGGCAGAGCCACCGGCTGTTTAAGGCAGGCCTCTACGATGTTATGTCATGTGGCAGGTGTTTGCTAGCCTCAGCAAGTAAGCAACAATGAAATGCGCCCCCGAAGGGCTGAGCAGGGAAGCGGTCCAACCAGGATCCTGCCACGGTCATTCCTGGGGTCAAGCCCTGCATGTAAGTTGCCAATGTTATTGTTGTGGATCAAAGAACCTCAAGTTATTGGTTCACTTCTCATATTATCTTTTCGTGGTGATACTTTGCATGGTAGTTATTGTGCCCTTGTGTGCTTGTTGGTGTTTGTGGCCTCAGTGCATTGGTTCTAGAGACAGTTGCGGTGGCTGCTGAAGTGTACAATGTGTTGTTTCTTGTGGTCGCTCTGGTGCCAAGAGTTCAGTCAGAACTCGAGACAGGTCCTTGGCTTTTCTCGCAAAGCATGCAGTTCCAAAGAGGTTCCTTGGACGCATGCGGGAGCAAGTTCTTTCATGAAGCAGGAGCCGCCAATGTACTGAAGCTGTTTTTTGCACATGTAGAAGGTTTTCCCCCTTGGCTTTGATGGCCTCCAGACTTGGCAGCTTCTGGATATTCCGGGGCTCTCCAGCGCTTGGGCTTAGGCGCGGGCAGCGCGCTGGAGGGCCAACCTGTGGAAGCTCTACCAGCGCGCCCGAGGGGCGGGAGATGTGATCAATCTCCCGGCGCTCATGGAGACGCCCCTCGGGCGAGGGGAGGAGGATCGGAGGGTCCTGCCTCCAGTGCTTAAGGTGCAAGGGAAAGAGTAGCAAATCAGTTGCAATCCTGGTTCCCTGATGGTTGGATGCTTTTTTTTTTTTGCCGCGTAAGGCGAACCTCCGAGTGGGCCCTTTTGCGGGCTTCCGCAGCAAAACCGATCAACTGAGAAATGGACAAGCAACAAGATGGTGCCACAGACCCGGCGGAAGGAACACTTGACGAGGCAACCTTCCATTTGTGGCCAAGGGATTTCATCCTACAAGCTGAACCCAGGACCAATGTGTTAGGGGCGCGGCTCATCAAGGCTTAACCTTTTTTTTTGGGGGTTATTCTTCGTGGCAGTTGCCCGAACAAATTGCCCATATACGGGTTGCTGGTCGATTGGGAAATGCCAGCTGGCGTATGTATTCTCATGGGGCACTAGCATGTGTAAGTGTATACATGAAAATCTAATCTAGATGGGTATGACCAGGCATTTGCGTGTGCGGCTTTCGGCCTGCCATGAAGATTCCTTTGATCCCAACCACCTCCGCGTTTCTTGGACCGACACCATAGGCTCATGCGCATCCACGGGGAGCAGGTGTTCGTAGACGGGCTCTTTAATGCAGACCCGCATCCAGGCGCGTGTCACCTGATGGCCATGGCCCGGCCGGCTTAGGGTCTGACCAAGATGGACAAATCACAAAAACCAGCAGCACATCTGTGATTCCTGAGTGACCGTGAGAGTGCTGGAACAGCCAGGATGCATTGCTGGCCGGATACCCGCAGTAAAGAGAACACCCTCTTGCCCTAGCAACAGCTTGTCAGTCCAACAAGACGCGCGTTGATCCTGCCAATCAGAAAGCTGATCGCTCTGGCGCGTACCGTTGGACCAGAAACGTTAGAGCGACAAGCAGTGCTGTCAACCGCGGCCTGGAAGGAAGCGAAAGGGAAGGAAAGGGAAGGGAAGGGAAGGGAAGGGAAGGAATGAGAAGAGGATCTGACAATGATGGATGCAGCGCAGGATGTGAACATGCGGGTCAATCTAAAGACACTCGCTGGGCTGCGCCCAGCGAGTCCAGCACAATGAAGTTGCGCGCATATCATTCCGGATGTAAGAAAACAAGGTCTATGTTTCCTTTGGGCCCTTTGTGGAGGATTCCAGCTGACCATTGTTTTTCGAAGGTTATTGTTCGCTTATTAGCTCGCCTCAACGGCCGGGTGTCAGGTTGTGCTTACCAATTTGGTGAGTCCTATGGTTGGAAAGCCTTCCAGTAACTCAGCGTTTACGCTGGGTCCTAAGGGGACTTCACCCTGCAGGCAACGTGATGCTCCTGAACGGCGACTCAAATGCCGTGGGGCTCATCGACTTCGGTCAGGTCAAGGCGCCAACTTCAGCCATCGTTCCCGGGTGACCGCGAACCCAAGGGTCTTTACCGGGAGGATTCCCCGAAAAAATGTCAGTTTGAAGCAGGTTTTTGTCATTTGCCCAGATCTTGGAACATGCATGGGGTTTGCCACTGGTCAGGTGTTTGCTTATACGATTGACTCTTCCCAGCTTGGTTGGAATGAAGACGGAGCAAATGCAGGCAAGCAGGTATGATGTATGAATGTCTTGGGCAGCTCGTGGGAAAGTGGGGGGTCGAAGGGTTGGTGTCACTGGTCTGGGACGAGTGAGGCCTGCTTGATGATGCAAGAGAGGGAGGGAGACAGAGACGGCAGACAGAGAGGGAGAGAGAGAGAGAGAGAGAGAGAGACAGTCATTGACTCCGCTTTGGCACAGGCTAGGGCCATTCTTGCCTGCCAGGAGCTTTCCGTTCAGTTCCGTATTCAGCTGGCGAAGCTGATCATTGCCCTTTCCCGCGGAGATGAGGCCGAAGTGGTCCGGCTCGACAAGGCAAGCGAACAGAAAGCCGGGGCCACGAGATGTTTGCCACGGTTGCTTTTCAGCGTTTCCTCTTCTTCTTATTATGGTTTTCCTTTTTTTTGTTTCTCTTGTGTGTGTGTGAGTATGGGCCGGCGGACGGGTGGGCGGGTGCGCGCGCGAAGTGCTTCCGTATCGTAGAGGAAGCTTCCAAAAAGAAACATTCCTGGATTGAAATGGAAGATCACAACATAGCAAAATCCCGGTGCCATCAGAATGAAAAGGCGAGTCCAGGCTTTGCGAACCTCAGTCGAATTCACGGCGAGTCTGGTTTGGGTGCCAAACCGGCGGCGTATAGCGGTTCAGTCCTGGTTGGACAGTGGGAGATTGAGGAAGCTAACTCAAGGACTCAAGGGCTCCGACCATGAATCGCTTGATGAATAAAGCTGCGCTAAGATGCCAACAATGGTTTGATGAGCTGTTGCGTTCCTTTTAGCAAGGCCATAATTCACATGGTTCAGCTTCCTGGATGCATGTTGGTTCAACAGATTGTCCTCACCTTGAGTTGCTTCGCTTTTGTAGCAGTGGGTTATTTGAAGCCAAACCGCTTCTATCAAGGAAGGCCCGGCAGACGACTCAACCAGTTTGTGGACCGCTGGGTGTCTCTTTCAATGTCTTAAATCAATCTAGCAGCAAGGATACTGAGAGCTCCCCGCTCTCTCACGAAGGGCCACCAAAGAGGTCCAATCATTCTGATCCATTCCAATCCCAAAACTAATTTCCACTTCCAGGGCTCCATGGCTTGCGGGAATGCAAGCTGGGCACCAGCAATTGCCTGAACTGTTCAGCCTCATCTGCCGTTGGTTCGTGCAAGCCGAGGCGCGAAATGGAGTGAATAATGACACAATTTAGCACATTCGCTCAAGAATATGAGCGTCTCTTCAAAAGGGAATATTTTCCCGAAGTCCTCGGGGCAGATTCCAGGATTTTGTTTGGGGAGGGCGTATTTTTGGTGGACATGCTGGCTGGCGGACGGCGTTTCAAGTTTCACGATCCTTTCAGCTTCCTTGTCCCCTTTCATTCCTGGATTAGGTGGGTTTCCGAGTGTCACAACATGTTGTCGCCCTGCGATTTCCGTTCAAAATCCGCGCCGACAAACTGACACCTGCTTGGCGAAGTCCTCACCTGGATGCAGAGATTGACGCCTGATAGCCTGATGGTGATGTCATGGTCATGTTTTGACCTCAAACAGTAGAATTAATTGTGTGCGTGATATGCCCGAGTTTGCTTTTCCTGCCTTTCGGACAGGAGATGGGCAGTCGCACCCGGTTTGGCAAGGCGGATGTGAGGCAGGGCATGGCTTGCCAAAGGAATGATTCGAATGTGGTTTCCACCCGCAGCCAAGGAAGCGGCTTGCACATCAAAGCAAGATGTCCATCATATCATGCCTTGATGCCAAGGAGTAGCTGTGGTGGTTCAATGGCTGCTTTGAGATTCAAGTACTTGGAGTCATGAGGTTTGATGGTTCCACGCCGACGGTTGCTGTGCGGTCTGGTTTTGGCGAAGTAATGGTGGTGATAGTGGGCAGCGGTCAGAACCAGGAACCCTTTCTTGAGAGACTGGGTCGTCAAGTTTTGATCAGCTCGCAAGAAAGCATTCGACAAATCAAGCCCCAGGCTTTTGGGCTTTCTTGGCCCGAGAAGATGCTGCTGAGAGCCCGTCCTGTGTGTTTCTGCTTGCGGTCACAGCGCTAGTATTGCGCCATCGCTTTGGTCCTACCCTCCAGTTGCACTCAACTTCCAATTCAGTGGCAAACAGCGCCAACTGCGGCTCTCCTTTACAAGAGTGAATGTTCCTATTGACACCTAGTCGCGGGTAGAGGCCGATGAAGGCATTTGGGGCGTCCCTGAGAAAGCCACTAAGGAATGGGGACAATTCCTTGACGCAGCTGCCATCAAAAATGATACGCACCACCTTGGAGTGTCTCTTACCCACGAAGGGTCGGCCAAGCAAAACAGCTCGAGCCAAAGATAGCCTAAGCCTTATAAAGCACAAACAAACTCCAAAGATCAACCTATGCAGTCTGTTCTCACACATCGATGTCTTGAATATGCGATGTTTTTCCTGCAACCACCAGCGGAGACTGGGAAATACAAGCCTCCAAGACGTGCTTTCCGACCAGTGGGAGCATCCTCGTGGCTCAAGGTTCACCCAGGATAATCGTTCCTAAGTTGCCAACTCCAACCAAGACACAGTGGTCATGAACACCGCCTAACCACAAACCGGCCTTAGTGTTTGAAAAGGATCAGTTGACTTCGAAAGGGCCTGCATTGAGACGGCACAGGAAGATATAAGAAGATGAATAATTTGTGGGCTTTTACTCCAAGAAACACCCATTTGCCAAGCCAGGCCTAAGGCGCTTTGCACTCGTCGTTTGAATGTCCCTGCGCGCCCTGGCTAAAGCTGTTTGGGGTTTCTAAGTCTCAAGCTTCAGACTTGCCGTCGTTCGGTCGATTTCCGGAGGTACAAAGTGGTGACCTTCTGGCTGGATCGGGACACAGATGACATCACCTCGGGCCAGTCCTTCCACGACTTCTTGGCCTGGGCAGAAGAGGAGGACCCGCTGGTGGAGATGCCCCGGGATCTCCACCTGGCGCCTCGGCGCAGATGACACGGGGCGGGGGGGAGGCTACAAGGAGGGGGGGTGGCTGGCTGGGTGGAGGGGGCGCACCCTTTGGACGTTTATCATAGATGCTTACAGTGTACAGAAAAGACAAAAGGTCGTCAACCATTTTGGGGTTCGGATTCCCATGGGCGCAATGGAATCACATGCGCCATGGAAGCCTGGGGAGCCCCAGGCTTTTCCAAGCGATGTCGCGGGCCGTTTGTTTGAAAATTCTGCATAAGGCACGAGCCCATCAACTTCATGGAACGTCAAACAAAAGTATGAACGTGGCCCTGCAAATTGCAAAACAAGCAGTCGTGCCCGTTAGTCACTCTTGCAACTTGTGGAGATGCGTTGGTGTGAGGGCTGGACTCCATTGTAATTGGAAGCTGCTACCAATGTTTTTTTTTTTTTGCCAGCTTGGATCTTTGTTGGACACAGCAATTCGCTCGACAACCGTGCATGTTCGCTTGTTCAGTCAAAATTGTCATATTGTTTTGCCTGCCTCCAGTCAACGATGATGGGAGCTGTTTTCCCCTGTTGTGGCTCCCCTACGTGAATTCGCTACAGAGCCAATGAGTTTGGGCAGACGTGCATGCCACTGTCCGCGCTAGACTGACGCTTGGCTGCAAGGCTGGAGGGAGCGCAAGCAAAACCAAAAAATAGTCACTGGAGCATAGCTTCTACAACCATACTTAAGAGGTCTGAAAAGGGATGGATGGATGGATGGAGGGAGGGATGGAGGGATGGAGGGATGGAGGGATGGAGGGATGGAGGGATGGAGGGATGGAGGGATGGAGGGATGGAGGGATGGAGGGATGGAGGGATGGGGGGATGGGGGGATGGAGGGATGGAGGGATCGAGTGCAGGGACGGATGGATGGACGGACGGATGGATCGATGGATGGATGGATGGATGGATGGATGGATGGATGGATGGGTGGGTGGGTGGGTAGGTGGGTGGGATGGATGGATGGATTGGATTGGATTGGATTGAATTGGATTGGATTGGATTGGATTGGATTGGATGGATGGATGGATGGATGGATGGATGGAGGGATGGGGGATGGGGGGATGGAGAGATGGATGGAGGGATGGAGGGATGAAGGGACGGCTGGATTCCTGGGTGGATGGATGGATGGAGGGATGGATGGGATGTGAGGGAGGGATGGATGGATGGATGGGTGGGATGGGATGGGATGGGATGGGATGGGATGGGATGGGATGGGATGGGATGGGATGGGATGGGATGGGATGTATGGTGATGGATGGACGGATGGATGGATGGACGGACGGATGGATGGACGGACGGACGGATAGATGGATGGGAGCTCAAGGCGCCGGACTGGCCACCCCCACAAGGAGTCATGAACTCCCCAAAACTCGTACAAGGGCGCAAGGCGCACAGACAAGACAGATGCGGGTCTTTGGACGCGCGAGATGCGACGCAACTGCAAGCGCGAGGTGCCAGCAGTGCCTCCGCCATTCCCCCATTCCGCGCTGCCCCCTGTAGGTGCCCACCAAAAAAGCCCAGAATGCGTTCAAAAAAACTGGGCCTTGCCTGCGTGGCAAGGCTTTGCCAGCAGCCTGCGGAAGCAGCCGGGGCTCTGAAAAGGGGAAAGGGGTGACCCCACAATAGAGTTTCCAAATTAGACATCCCTTCCATTTGCCAACTGAACCAAGAATCCGGCAGTTACACCACGAACAGACAAACTCCTCGCCCGTAGTGCAAAGACCGGACGGGCCTCGAGCAAACCTGGACAAAACGAGGTGATGAGATGCTCCTGCTTGATTCGGAACTTGGCGCTGGGCTTCGGCATCCGCCTGTCCGCCTCCGCCTCCCGGCGCGCAAGGTGGGGTAGAGCTGGCCGGCACCCAGGGGCTAAGGCGATGGATATACATGCGCACTATGCGTATACGTGCGTACATGCATACACACATGTGCACTAGCGTTGGAGGGAGGCAGGGTGAAAAAGAGAGAGAGGGAGAGAGAGAGAGTTTTTGGTTGTACGTGTGTAGGCCCCTCCCGCCGCCTTACGTGGATGACTCGGCCATTGCCAGGGCTTCGAATTCGGCAAAGAAGTGTTGATCGCACAAGTCCGCACTATGCAGTGTGGCCTTTTGAAGGGAACTGGCAAATCAAACGTTCAAAGACCTAGTAGGTAGAATTCTAGCCGCAAACCCAACATTCTCTTGCTCAAAAGGCACCAGTCCCTCGAGTTCTGACGTTTGACTGATCGTTCTGAACATGAATGAAATGCTGTGTTTCCCGTGCCTCTTGTTCTTGGGAGCGTTTTCCCATTGAACCGTTCGCAGCCAAGCATGACTGTGCATGTGCAACTGCCCCTTTTGTCCTAGCCAGTGTTTGCAACTTGGGGCGTGTTTTCCGAAGTGAATGTGTTGCAGGCCAGCCGGTTGAATTTTGAAACGGCCAAGGGCAGCTGTTCTAACAAGAGTGAAATGCTACCTTTTGGCCCCTGTGCTCGCAGGCCCGGCCATTGCGGGTAATTACTTGGATTTGCCGCCTTTTATTTTTTTGGGGGGGGAGGCATTGATGTCATCGCCATTGGCAGCATAGCTGTGTGTCATGGCTGAGTTCAGGGACTCGAGGTTGTTTGGGACGCAACAAACAAGCAAAGGCGTTGGACAATCTAATCAGAAAGTTGGTTGTGGGCGTTGGTTCACAACATTCATATCTTGCAACAAGCTTTGCCAGTCCATGGGTCTCCACCGATGATATTGTCTCAAGTTTTCAGTTGAACAAGTCGCATACTCTGGCAAAAGCCTTCATTTGCCTCTCTTTTCGGTTAGCCTGGTTGGTTCACCTGTCTTTTCGGAGCTGGGCATGGGACTCAGGAATATTGGAGGCCGGAAGCCGAAGCGCTTCTGCGGAAACATGGAGTGGCCTTCTGAAGGCGGGGAGGTTGTACTTGGATGTAAGCTAAAGGGACATGTCCGTCCCAGAACCCCACCTTTGCACAGCTTCAAGAGGGCCGAGGGCGTAGGGTCCCGACTGTTCCGGCGCCATGGGGGGTGCGGGTCAGCCTGCAGGCTGGCACGTGCACAGACATGCCTTTGCTGTTATCCAATCGCCTTCTGGCCAGAAGATCCTTTTGACCGGGCCTCGCATCATTTCCATTTGATGTGGTCCTGCAAACCTATCTTTGACACATACTCTCTTTGAGGGGGGTGCCCTTGTGCCCTTGTAAGCCCCAGTGGTCAAGCAATTTGTTTGGGATGGCCAACGGGTTGGTTTTTGGGATGCGACTCCAAGCATTTGCAGAGGCTTGAAAGTTGACCCTTGGACAGGCCGGTCCTGACGCGACCTTGTACAGCGCGGGATCAGCCTGGCAAGGAGCCAGTGAGTTGTCAAAGGTGGTGACACAGGAGTGGCATTGGCTGCAGGCACTGTCTCATGTTGGATATGTCTACTTATTTTGCAGCGGCCTGGGTAGCTGCTTAGTTATGCTGAACACGGGGCCTCTCAGGCTTTTGTAAAGTCCTTGCGAGCGGAGAAATGCCTGCAAACAACGCCAAGCTTGGCCAGGTAGGGAAGGGCCCGGCCAGGACCACCTAACCGATGAGTTTCAATTTGAAAGCCTCGATTGAGGCTAGAGACCGGACAGATTGGTCGCCATCCCATGGCTCCCATGTCAATCCCCGTGCCGATCTGAACGGTTAGCGAATTGTCTTCACAGGCTAGAAAGTGGGATAGTCAGAGCGCTGGGGCAGAAGTCACCCCGGATGAGCTTGAACTGGCCTCTCTGCTTTGGATGGGGTCAAGATGGGCGGGGCCAATGGCAACAGAGTCTTATGCCCCGAATCCAACTTCGCATACGTTGTCATTTGCTTTCCCTTGGAAGTGTCATGAACCTCTAATGTTTAGTCAGTATCATCTGACTTCCATGCATGGCAATACTTCAAGATGTCGCACGCGTCACATATTTGCAGACCGCAACTTCGCTTTGCATCAAACTCAAGCCCCGGCAAAGCGCACCGACACGCAAAGATGTCGAAGATGTCCAGTGAGCTTTGTTTCAAATCGTGCCAGCCCTTTTGTTGCTCCAACCGCGCCTATGACCCCTGCCGGACCACGAGGCTGGTAGAATTGGCCAGGCCCAAGGAGGCCAAACGCCAAGCCCTGCATCGGAGGATCCGCGTCGCGGACTTTCGCCGATTCCGCTGCCGACGATTGCAACTTTCGAAAGAAGGTCCTTTGATCCATGGGTGGAAAAAACCGGATCTGCACGCATGCTGATTCTGCGCTCCCCAGGGAAAGCGCCAAGGAAACACTGATAATCATGATAATCTATGCATGGACTTCACCGGAAAGAACAGCAGTGTAAATCTTGGGCCCGTGCTTTCATATCGAGTTCAATTGGTCTGACAATGTGTCCGTGAGCAACTAAAAGGAGAAAAGACTTGCGAGTGAAGCAGACGCAGCTTCTTCCAGTGCAGGGGTTTGCCTCGTTTGTCTTGCCCAGTGCCTGCCTTTCTTTGCGACCCCACTGGCCATTTCAAATGAGGGGTCGCAGAGTCACAGGCAGCCGCACTTGACCTCCTAGGCAATTTGTTAGAATGCCCCCCGGGTAACGAGAGCTTGCCCTCCGCGTTGCATGCATCGAAGAAATAAAGGCCGCCGCCAGCGAGCTATGTGTTTGTGTGCATGTGCAGTTGGCTTGTGAAACCTGACTGGAAACAGCAGCATATAGACGGCAGCTGTCAGTGTTAGGAACTGAGAAGCCTTTCGAAGCAAAACTAGGCTTGCTGTTTTCCCGATTGAATCCTGAGTGCAGGCAGAGGCTTGAGAAGCCACACAGTAACTAGCATTTTTTTACGCCAGGCAACTCCGGAGGTCCCCGGATTTGTCAAATGGCTGCAAGCCTCACAGGAAATACCTATCCGAGATGCAGATTTGGTTGAGTGCAAGCTGAGTGTGGCTGCATATGTGTGAAGGAGCTAGTTGTTCTTGCAGAGTCTCCTGTTCAAGTCATGTATGTGCATATTAATTCAGCCTGCGTGGGGCTGTTGCATGCCAAAACCGCATGAACAAATGAAGCAAGTATGGGAGGGGATTTGCTGCAAGACCTACTGGGAGGTCATCTCGCTCAGAGGGCATTCTTTCACCAATCAGTTTCTGTTTCTCAAGTATACCAAACCTTGTCATGGAAGTTCATGAATAGTTGTGGGACCTGCAAGGCCCATCCATTTAGCCGTTGTTGGTGGTTTGACTTGGTTTGGCTTGGCTTGGCTTGGCTTGGCTCGATTCTTTTGTTTGTTTGTTTGTTTGTTTGTTTGTTTGTTTGCGGTCTTGTCTGTTTGCTTCTTTCCTGGTTTGTTTGTTTGCTTGCTTGTGGGTGTGTCTGTTGGCTCGTTTGTTTGCATTTGGCATCGCCTCGTTCATGGCAGTTTTGCATGACGTGTGTTCCGTGCGCGAGATGCTTCGGGATCCGCGGGTGCTTGCATGTTCTTTGACTCGGGCTTCATCAAGGAGTTCCCTTTAGAGACAAGTTTTGCGTTTGTGCTGTTGTTTGTGCCGACAGGTCCACTCAATTCTTGCTTGCTTGCACTGTTCACGCGTCACTGTGACCACTCATACACAGGCATGGCCTGGATGTTGCGTGTACTCCATTTTATTTATTTATCTCAGCTCACATCGTCTTTTCCCTTGCTTGCTTGCCTGCCTGCCTTGCTGGCCCTGCTTGCCTGCTTGCCTGCTTGCTCGGTTGAATGCTTCCTTGCCTGCCGGCGATTGTTTCTTGCGTGTTTGTTTGTTTTCTGTTGGTGTGTCGTTGTGCTTGCTCGCCGGCCGGTTTGCTGGCTTGGCTTGCTGGCTTGCTGGCTTGCTGGCTTGCTGGCTTGCTGGCTTGCTGGCTTGCTGGCTCGCTCGCTGGCTTGTTCGCTGTTTGTGGATTGACTTGTTGGCAGGGGGTCTTGTGATGAAATTGTGTCGAGCACCAGGGACACTCACGAGATGTATTGAAAATACAAAGGGCACCGCATGAAAGCAATTCCCTGTCACCGGAAGCATCGACTGGCGGATTCCAATTGCAGTCGTTCCTTCAGTGGTTGGGGGACAACCCCGGCTGCCAAGTTCCGACCGGGCGAGTGGGGGGGCCTGTGGACCTGGGCCTGCCAGGGGGAGCTCTTTCCGACGCGTGCCGTGGAAGCCCCAGTTCGAGCAAAGTCCGCGGATTCATTTGCCCCGATTTTGAACAAGAAGAGCACGACGCCCTGGACACACAACGCGGAAATTGGCAGAATGTTGGCAACCATCCCAGGAAAAAAAGCAAGTTGGCACGTTGCCTGCCACAGTGAGCATGTAGGGTCCGACAACCTTTGGAGTGTTTGATTCAAGGGGTGCTACTGCTTGGCCACAGGAGCCTTGGACTCAATGGATATTTGATCACCAGGGCCAAGTTGCTTCTGAGCTGGAGTGAGGACCACCTTGGGGTGAACCCGT